CCACCCCAGCTGATGCTGAACTAAGCATGGCTTTGTATAGGTTATTTTACATCTGATTTGAATATTGTTTCTTTCAAGTCAAATCTCACAGCAAGCCCCTCCCAGCCTCTCCCGCAGCTCCCATTTGTTCCCCTAAAGGGCTTTCATCCCTTGCAGTGTCTGGTCAGTCCAGGTGGCCCAGCCTGAGGAGCTGTCCACCTGCTGGTTCCCGGGCTCCCTGTGCTCAGTATTAACATGTGGCCCCCTTTCTCCTGCCACAGATCCTTGATGTGAATCAATCCCATGATGCAACATGCCTCCCCAGCCCCAGCTCTGACGATGATGGCCACGCAAAATGTCCCTCCCCCACCCTACCAGGACAGTCCACAGGTGAGTGTCCACCAACCGATGGGAGGGGTACGTGGCCTTCCAGGGGCTGAGGGCAGGGCCTGGTGCCCTCTGGGCTCTTCTCTATAGGCCTGGGGAAGCGAACACAGACCCTGGAAGGAAGTTACTGCATTTGACAAACACGGGGTTCAGATCCTGCCTGGGTAACTCACCATTGCCTAGAGCACCGAGTCATGGTCCTGTCCCTGCCCATCTCTGCTTCCCACTCACAGCAGACATCAGACAAATGCTCCAAACCCCTCACTCGGGGAGATACAGGTAAATTGAGTCTGCCTTTGAGTGTTTGGGGAAATTTTTAAATTAGAGGCTCTTTTGTACCAGCCCCCCATTCATGGTCACTGGAGCTCCAATGTCCACCCTTCTCTGCTTGTCTTTTGGGGGAATCTCCCTTCTCTCTAGGACTTGCTCAGCTTCTATCCAGAAAAAGTCCAGGCCTGCCTCTATGCCTTTCAACCCTTCCCTCTGGTTCCCAGTTCCCATCTCTCAGCTCAGACACGGCAGAGCCCCAGGCCTTCTGAGACTCTTATCTGGCTGCAGCTCCTGTTGAGGGCAGCATCTTCCCATTGTCTCCTCTCCTTCTCCTGGAAGCCTGGCCCAGCTTCCCTGGGCTGGGCTCCTGCAGGCCTTGCACTGATCACTTCTAGCCTTTGCCCCTGCGTGTACCTCCCCCGCTCGTCATTCACCAGCCTTCGAGCATGCTCCCACATCAGCTTCACGCTCCTTCCTAGACTCCCCTCCACACCCCTTGCTCATATCCAGCAAATGCTCTGCCCATGTCAGTGGCTTTCCATGAATTACCACGGGTTGGACTTGGCACTGACACGGTCCCACTGTTTGAAAGCCTGTCAGGCCCTTTCCCTCTACAGAGGGATGAAGAACAGGAGACTTGGACTAGCAGAGCCCTGGGAACCAGGGTCCATGACAGGGACAAGCATCATCCTTCTCGGGGCAGATGCAGAACCCATGCCCTCATCTGCTCAGGGACCCGGGGTGTCGGTAAAGAGACAGGAATTTTGACTGGTCTTTTGTGGCGGGAGGCTGCTCTCCAAGATCCACAGCAGGGATGGAAGGGGCAATAGGCAGGCGGGGCAAAGACCCTCACCCCCATACCTGAGGCTCAGGGGCTGACTGAGGTGGGCCAGGAGGTCAGAGAGCACCAAATGGGCAGCCGGGAGCTGCTGCTTCTCCCCCAGCCTGTTTTGCTGCCTGGGCGGCTGGGAGAAGTTGAGTTTGGTGGGATTCGCAGGAGAGTTGCAGGAAGGCCTGTGTTGTCCGAGAAGCTGATCTGAGGAGAGTTAAGTAGAGGAGCGTCAGCATGCAGCTGAGCTTTAATAAATCCCAGCTACCTACAGAGTGGGTGGAGGTGGGGCAGCAGCCCTAAGGTGCTGAGCGCCCTGGGAGCCACCACTGAGCTGTTCTAGCCTCTGGGTGAGAAAGGGAGGCTCCAGTTCCCCAACACAGGGACTGTCTGAAGACTGTCCTCTCTGAGGAGTCACCAATACTTCACCATTGAAATTGCTCAAAGAA